GGGGTAAAGAGAGAGGGCAGGCACCAGGGTCAGGGCCCAGGGAATGGCTAGAGCTGTGCCAGGTGGATATCAGGGAAAGGTTCCTTATCCAGAGGGTGCTGGACACTGACCAGGCTCCCCAGGGAATGGAGCTCCAGGAATGTTTGGTCAATCAGGGTGAGGTTGTTGGGGTGCCCTGTGCAGGACCAGGGGCTGGACTGGACAATCCTTGTGGATCCCTTCAATTGTTGGGATATCCCATGAGTCCACAAGCAGCTTTAGGGTTCCTTCTCCAGAGGGGATTTGGAGCTTCCTTTAACCAGGACAGGCACTTGCAGCACCTCCATGTTTGATGAGGACAGCCATGTCATGGTTGATGCCCTTAGAGGTGTTTTCCACACGTGACAATTCCCTGGTTCTGCAGGATTGCCAGCAGGCTGTGTACACACAGCACCTGCCCTGCCCTGCCCGGCCTCCCCGAGTGCCCAGGGTGCATTGGTGGCTGTCCCTGCCTGGGTGACAGCCAGCTCAGCCATGTGCTGCCAGCAGGGCTCCCAGAGGTGCAAAGGCTCTGAGTGAGCTCTTTCCCTGGAAAGGGCCAGGAAATCTCTTGGCTCCCACCCAGCTTTGTTAAGAGCCCTGAGGTGGCAACAGGGCTGACTTTGGCCCATGGCACCGTGGTGACACAGTTCAGGGCTGGAAGTGGCTCAGGGCGTGGGCTGAGCTCTGCTCCCGCTCCTGGAGTGCACTCTGGGCTCTGCCAGGGAAACCTGGTCCTTTTCCAGCTGCTCTCCATGGGAATGAGGGCTGTGACACTTGGGAACCACGCAGTGAAGGGCTGGAGCTCTGCACGAGAGCCTTAGTGCTGGGATCTGCAGCCACAGCGGGCAGAACCTGAGTCCCACCAGAGGATGGATTTCCTCGAGGATTGCTCCATCAGGGTGCTGGATTGTTGGGCCTGCATCCAGTGGGATGCCCCAGCAGGCAGGAACCAGGAGGGGAAGGAGCCCAGAGGTTCTGGTAGCTTGGAGGAGCCAAGCTTGTAAAAACAGCTCTGTAAAACCAGAACTAACACAAAGGTTAGGCCAGGGCTGAGTCACTGCCCAGGTGAGGCAGGAAGGCAGGAACTGTTCCCATTTCAGCTCAGAACATGCTGAGTTAGTGGCAACATCACTTAGATTTCTAGCCCTGAATTATTCCCAATTAATTAAAGGTATTGCCCTAGAATTCCCCAGTTCGTTAAAGAGACTGCCCCAAAATAAAACACTCCTCAGGCTGCTGAGTTCAAAGGAGACCAGAGCCAGCAGGTCCAGGCTGGGCTGCAGATCCAACATGCCTGAGGTGTGATCCTGGCTGGATTCATCCCATTCCTAGCGTTCACTCCTGCTGCTTGCGTGGCCAAAGCTTTGTACCCAAATCTTGCTTCCCTTTATCAGGTTTGATTTCTGTCCTACCTGCATCCTCTCGTGGCTGCCCGGTGTTATCAGGGAGATAGGGAGGGGGGAAGTGGGGCAGAGGACGCTGATTCAGCCCTGGGGAGTCTGGCTGAGTCAGACCCGAAGCTAAATCACCTCAGCTCGGGTTCCTGGGCTGCTCCCTCCATTTCCTGCTGGCTCAAACCCCCTCGGGATGTTTCCTCCTCCCCACTGGCAGTCAGGGTCAGCGTTCCCACCTTTCCCAGCCCCGTGTTGGTGTTTTTGCCGCAGGCACGCTCGGAGATGGACAAGTACCTGTCCAGCGAGGTGCCGCCCGTGCCCATGCTCCCGGACAAGAAGTACCGCCGGGAGAGCGCCTCGGTGGTGGACGAGTTCTTCTCCACAGAGAAACCCAGCTCAGCTCCCTACAGCGTGAACATCAACGTCATCCTGCCCGACACCACCCACCTGCGCACGGGGCTCTACCGGCCCCCCAAGCCCGTGGCCCCCTTCCCGCAGATCAAATCTGAGCCCGGCACCGCCTTCTCCCAGCCCTGCTCGTCCTCCTCCGGCCCCACGCAGACCCTGCCCGACTTCACCAGCGTGTTCAGCATGCCCCAGTCGGTGGCGGTCAACAACATCTTCATCAAGCAGGAGATGCCTGCTGNGGCTGTGCACAGACTGTTCCTGCCGGGCTGTTAAAGCTCCAGGAATGCCAAGATCCCGCTGGTCAAGGACAGGAAGGGGAGCAGGGAGGGGTGAAATCCTGGGGGAAGCCTGGAGGAGGCCACACGGTGTCACAGGGCATGGCCGGGAGGTGCCAGCACCAACGGGAGACTCCTCCCGGCTTCCTCCTCGGAATGCAGAAGGAATCGATGCTGCTGGCACCGCACCGTGCCCAGGACCTGGAAAACACAGGGGAGGAGGGTGGGGATGAAAACCCGCTGGAGGAGGCTCTGTCCCTCCTCTGCTCCCCGGTGATCCCAGAGGGAGAAGCTGGAGGGTCCCAGGGACAGCCAAGGTCCTGCTCAGGGCCACCCTGTGCCCGAGGTCTGCTGTGGGGACAAACCCAGCCCAGCGCCCCTGGGGAGCTGGAAGGGCCCTGGAGATGCCCCTCCAGCCTGGCCGTGACTTTGAGGGTGGCTTTAATGATGAACTTTGCTGTCCCATCTCCCCCGGCAGCTGTGGGCTGTTCTGTTTGATGTGCCCGGGCTGTAAAGTTATTTATTGACTGGGGAAAACACAATTCCAGCGGGAAGGAGCGGCCGGGCGGGTTTCGACAGAGGATGGTGGTGGCATCGGGACACGCGTGTGGCTGCGGCAAAGCCACCCCCGGCTGCCACCTGCGGGACAAATCCCGGCTCCCAACACCCTCCGGAAAGCCCAGGAGAGCCCCAGCAGGGCGGATTTTGGGGAAGGTAGCACAAATGTTCCGTGACAGCGGCCACGAGCGCTGCCCTTCAAACCCTGCCCTTATCTCCCGCACCCCGAGGACCATCAACCCTCGAGCCTCCCTCCCGCTGCAGCCGAGCCATTAAAGTTAACCATTACCCAAAGCGAGTGTTTATTTGGGATAATCCAGCCCCGGGGGAAAGTGAGGGACGGGGACAGGAAGGCTCCCGGCTCTTTTCTGCCAGATAGGGCCCGTCCTGCGGCGCTCAAGTGGTGCTTGAACAAGATGAATGCTCAAATAACACACGGCAAACAGCGCGGCCGGGAGAGCGCCGGCCAGCGGGACACGCGGCATTCCCATTCCATGGGGACAGTCAGCATTCCCATTCCATGGGGACACCTGGCATTCCTGCTCCTTGGAGACACCCGGCATTCCCATCCCTTGGGGACACTCGGCATTCCCGTTTCTTGGGGACAGTCAGCATTCCCATTCCTTAGGGAGTCAGCATTTCCAGCCCATGGGGACACCCGGCATTCCTATTTTTTGGAGACACTCAGCATTCTCATTCCTTGGGGACATTCACCATTCCCATTCCATGGGGACACCTGGCATTCCTGTTCCATGGGGACACTCGGCATTCTCAGCCCATGGGGACACTCGGCATTCCCATTTTTTAGGGACACCTGGCATTCCCATTCCATGCAGACATTGAGCATTCCCATTCCTTGGGGACACTCAGCATTCATCTTCCTTGGGGACTGTCAGCATTCCCATTTTTTGGGGACATTCACCATTCCCATTCCATGGGGACACTCAGCATTCCTGTTCCTTGGGGACACCCGTCATTCTCAGCCCATGGAGACACTCAGGATTCCCATTTTTTAGGTATACTCGGCATCCCCATTCCATGGGGACACTCAGCATTCCCATTCCTTGGAGACACTCAGCATTCCCATTTTTTGGGGACTCTCATCATTCCCATCCCAAGGGCAGACTCCCCCTCTCATGGGGATTTTCGGTGCCTTCAGAGGGCTTTGTCTCCTGCCAGAGATCTGTTCAAGCTTTCCCTGGTTTTGTGTGGTTTTTTTGTCACCTTTGGGGCGAAATCCTCCTTTTCCCGATGATTTTCCCACTCTGTATCTCCAGTCCTGCTGTATCCCCACCCTGTCCTGTTCCTGCTCCATTTGCAGAGGCAGCAGTGGCAGCCAGGACAGGGAATCTCCACATCCAAACCCTTCCCTGGCTCCTGGAGAGGCCTCACCCACCTGCAGTTCCCAAATCCCAGCCTTCCTCACACTGTCCCACAGTAAAACTCCTTTTTTCCCACTCCCAGAATTTCATTCCTCTCCCTGGAGGCGGGGAAGGGCAGGGCACCCAAAGGTGCCCCCAGCTCTGGGACAAACCCTTCCCACCCCGGTATTTCCTGGTCCCTCCTGGGCTCGGAGCCTTCCCAGAGCGGGCCAGGCAGGAATTGAGCCCGGAGCCTTCCTGGATCCCCGGATCGCGTGCCGAGGGCTCACCTGAGCCTCACCTGAGCCCTTAATCCCCTAATCCGTCACCAAGGAGACCCAGCCTTACCTGGCCCGTGCGAGCAGAGGGGCCCCGCGAGGGAGAGCTGAATCCCTCTCGTGCCAGGTCCCTTTGGGCTCATCCCAAATCCCTTTTTGGCTCGTCCCAGCTCCCTTTTGGCTCATCCCAGGTCCCTTTGGGCTCATCCCGGTGCTCCAGGGCTGCGGGGTGCAGCCGGATACTCCCTCCTTGACACATTCCCGCCCCAGTTCTCCCAGTTCAGGCATCGGAGACCCCTGGGATTTACCCATCCCTGCCCCTCTGGGATTTATCCATCCCTGCCCCTTTGGGGTTTATCCATCCCTTCCTCCCTGGCATTTATCCATCCCTGCCTCCCCGAGCCCCCACACCCCTGAGGGTGGGGGATGACCCCATGGCCCGTTTGGGGACAGTGGGGACCCCAAACTGCTGCTGGGGGACACTGGGGTGTGGCTGCTCTGCCCCAAGCCCACCGTGCATGGGTTGGAGAGACACAGGGATGGGCACAAGCAAAGTGGGTAACATTTCCATGAAAAATTCCCTTTCTGGCAGCAGGGAGAGCGTGAGGGCTCTAAGGCAGATGGAGAATTGTCCCAGTATGGCTCAAATCTGTCCCAGCCCCACAAAAACGGGGACAAATCCCGAGCTGGGGGCATCAGAAGGCACAAGCCACGGGAGTGGGGAATGCTGGCGTTCCTACAAACACCCGGAGGGGCCCTTGGAAGACCTGGAATTGTCACCGAGGGTCCCTGCGGGGCCAGCAGGGGACAATCCAAGCACTCCTGTCACCCTCTGAGCACACCGTGAGTGGGAAGGTGAGGAGAGCAAAGGGTTTCTGTGGGAAAGGCGGAATTCCCGCCGGGAGCGTCCTCCCTGCTCCCTGCAGGATCTCCTGGAGCAGAGCTCAGGGCTCTGGGGCGCTTCAGGGCTGTCNCGGCGTCGGGGGCCTCTCCCAGGGCCACGTGGTGATGCAGCCCCCCAAGTACAACCGGCGCAACAACCCCGAGCTGGAGAAGAGGAGGATCCACCACTGTGACTACCCAGGTGTGCTCACGGCGCCTCTGGGGGCTCTGGGCACCCCGAGGGTGGGTGGGAGCCTCCAGGGAGGATAATCTGAGATCCTTTTGGGGTGAAGCTGGGGATGGAGCCCCAGGGAAGTGGGAGGGAGTAGAAGGGGTTGATCCCAGCAGCATGGTGTGGTTCCTCTTGTGTCCACTTCCCTCTCCCTTTACACTCTCGCAAAAGTGACTCAGCAAAGCTCCTAAGGCAGGGATGCTCCTGGGAATCTGCTCCTGGGAATCTGTACTTGGGAATCTGCTCCTGGGAATCTGGATTTGGGAATCTGCTCCTGGGAATCTGGATTTGGAAATCTGCTTGTGGGAATCTGCTCCTGAGCTGTTGCTTCACTCTGGTCCTTCCCAAACCCGAGCAGCCACTGAAGCCACTCTGCCGTTCCCATTCCCCCTTCCTTTCCCTTTCTCTCACAGTGGGTGGAAAACCAGCAAGGAATTCCCACCAGGAGCCCTGCTGGACTCTCTCTGAGAGTTCTGATCTTCCAAAGAGGCAGTGAACTGAACATCCCTGTGCCATCCTCCCATGGCTCCACGTGCTGCAGCAGGAGCTGTGCAGGGGCATTCGTGGAGTGCTTTGGTTGGAAGGGATGTTTAAAGGGATGTCATCCCACCATGGACTGGGACACCTTCATGCCCCAGCTTTCTCCAAGCCCTCCAGCTGGGGATCAGCCCAGAGCAGCTGTGGCTTCCCCTGGATCCCTGGAAGTGTCCCAGGCCAGGCTGGACAGGGCTTGGAGCAGCCTGGGACAGTGGGAGGTGTCCCTGCCATGGCAGGGGGTGGAACTGGGGTGAGCTTTCCTTCCAACCCAAGCCAGTCTGGGATTCCATGGCACACACCAGGGAAGCAAACCCCATTGAGAGCCACTCCCGGGGCCAGGACACACCTCCCATTTCCTGGGCTGATCCCCAGGGCTGAGCAGCTGTGGATTAGCAAACAGCTTTCCCGTGGGGGGGTGTGAATGAGGAAAGTCACTTCCTAACTGCCTCAGGGAGATTTACTGACCCTTTCCCTGGCATGGGAGTGGCTGAGGCAGCCCAGAGGCTCTGCCTGCTCCAGATCCCATCTCCAGCCACGGTGCCAGGAGCTGCATAAGAACAGGAGAGGTTGAGAGAGATCTTTCTGTGCTTACACCTTCCCACTCTCTGGCACCCTGTGGATCAGGGACTTCCTGAGCCACAAGCTGCCAGTGGTTGATGGTTTGTGCTGAATTTTTTATCTTCTGCTGGTATCAGACACACTCCTCGTGTCTGACTGCTCAGAGGCTCATCCTGCAGGATTTGCACCAAGGCAAAGCTGCTTTTAGTAGGATTTTGGTCTGTGGTGCCAGAAAAAAAAAAACAAACCCAATCTATGCTGAATAAATCCTGGGTCTGTACATGCAGAGATGGAGCAGAGATCCATGTGATCCCTCCCTCAAAGGTTCAGCTGGAGGTGACTCCAGTCAGGAATAATGGTGAGGGATTCTCACCAGCCTGGTCTCTGGGAGGAATGAGGGGGGCTTGGAGACCTCACACCTGGAACCAGATGGATGTGGGAGAGCTGTTGGTAAAGCCCCATCCAGAACCTCCCAGGGCCTGCAGGGGCTCCAGGAGAGCTGCAGAGGGACTGGGGACAGGGATGGAGGGACAGGACACAGGGAATGGCTCCCACTGCCAGAGGGCAGGGATGGATGGGAGATTGGGAATTGGGAATTGTTCCCTGGCAGGGTGGGCAGGCCCTGGCACAGGCGCCCACCCTGGATCCCTGGCAGTGCCCAAGGCCAGGCTGGACACTGGGACACCCTGGGACAGTGTGAGGTGTCCCAGCCATGGAAGGAGAAAAGCTTTGAGCTCCCTTGCAACCCAAACCATTCCTTCATTCCCTGATCTCTCTCCTAAATGTGAGGAGCTGCCAAAGCTTCAGAGCCCCAGAAACAAAACTGAATGGGTCACCACAACCCCGTGTCCCTCCTGCCAAGGAGGAGGAAAGCAGCTCCTGGCCCACCTGAGCAGGACAGGACCAAGGGCTGATCCTGAGCAGGAGGCTCCTGTGGGCTGGGTCGAAACACTGGGATGAAAACTATCCCTGTGCTGCTTGTGCAGGTCATAAAAATGCAAATTCATATTTGAATGTCCTCTTCAAAACACAAAGCAGCAGGGCCAGAAAAGGCAGCAGAAGCTTCCTTAAGCTTTGTCCAACTTAAACTTCAGGGGAGTTAAACTGACTCATTTTGAGATACCTGCTGTTGGAACTGTTCCCCAGTCGTGGTGTTTCTGTTAAACACTGTCTTGATGAAACCTGTTCATGCTGGTCTTGTGAAAACACTTTCCCCTGGCTCTGCTCTGGGACCTGGAAGCCAAGTTGTGCCTGTCCCTGGCTGTTTCCTGCTTCCTGGAACATTGGTACCATGTCTGCTGGGCCAGGACTGTTACAAAACCCAGCCTTGCACAGTCCTGTCAGCCATGAGTGCAGCCCAGAGAGACAGGGCAGCACAGAGCCAGGAACGTGGGGGAATCAGGGCTTTTCATCCTGGTGCTGGAAGGGGGGTTGGAACCTCTGTGCTTGGCTGTGCCCCTCTAATTCCCAGCACAATTCCCTTGGGAGAAGGTGTTAAAGTCTCTCTGCCTAAGAGCAAACGCTCCTTAGTTAGTGCTGAGCCCAAGCCAGGCTTGTTTGCATGGCCCAGCTCTGTCCCTCCCCTCAAATATCAGAGTTTGTTTGAGCAAGGGCTCCTTTCTCACAGGGAAATTGTGTTTTTTTCTGTCCTTGCAGGTTGCTCAAAGGTTTACACCAAGAGCTCCCACCTGAAGGCACATCAGAGGACTCACACAGGTAAGGGCAGCTCCAGGAAATGCTGCCAGCCTCAGGTACCAAACCCCCCTAAAAAGAGCAAGGTTAGGTGGGATATTGGGAAGGAATTCCTGGCTGGGAGGTTGGGCAGGCCCTGGCACAGGTGCCCAGAGCAGCTGTGGCTGCCCCTGGATCCCTGGCAGTGCCCAAGGCCAGGCTGGACACTGGGGCTTGGAGCAGCCTGGGATGGTGGAAGTTACCATGGTGCAAGATGGGCTCTAAGGTCCCTCCCAACCTGATCTGTTCTTTGATTCTTTATTTTTTTGTCACTCTGAGCTCTTCCCTTGAGATGTCCCAAATCCTTCCTGGGGCTGATGCTGCTGATCCTGCAGGAAGGCTGCACAGGGCCTGTGCTGCACCCTTAGGATCTCTGAGGAGACCAGGGCATCTCTTCTGTCAGACCCCCACCCAGGGCTCCCAGGGAGAGGAAGGAGCCCCTCGTGTCTCCCTGAGTTCCACTGCCTCTGAACCAGCCAGGAAGGGCTCCCAGTGCACAGGGGATGGGCTGAGGGTGCCCCAGGGAGCCCAGCTGGGAGCAGCTCCCAGCACAGCTCCCTGGGCTGATCCCAGCTCCGTGACACTCTGCATTCAAGCCCTGGCGCCCTCATTAAGGCATTTATTATACCTGAAACATTATCAGATCCCCAGGTACTCCAGGAACCATCAGTGCCCTCATAAATCTCTTTTATAGGAGGGCTGATCTTTACTGAGAGCAATTAAGCCAGGCCCAGAGTTCACTTCTGGTTTTTATGAACAACGACCAAAGCCTGTTCTGTGGCTGGGAATTGCTCCTTGCTCTTGGCTCTGTTCCTTCCCCCCCTTATCAGTCCTTCAAACAAAGAATTTCATCTTGTGCCTGAGCCACGGTGGTTCTTTGGCAGGGGCTGGGCACAAGGGGCTGGAAAACAGCACGGAAAGGCTGGAAAAAAAGGAACAGGAAGGATGTTGTCCCAGAGATGGGTGCTGATAGGAGTTTATCACAGTCTGGAATCAGGCCTTTAAAATTGAATTAAATATCTTTTGTCCCTTCTCTTGAGAGCTCTGTGCCCAGGACAGGATCCATGAGTTGGGTGCCTCCTTACCTATCACATACAAAGATGTACCCAGGAAAACCTGGGTGGGTTTGAAATCCAGGAAAACTCAGTGGTTTTCCAGGTTTCCCAGTAATCAGGCACGAAATCCAGGTGGCTTTGCCTCCTTTCCTTCCCCTGCTGTTAGAAGGAAGGGTGGAGAGGTGAGGGAGGGTGTGAGCTGAGGAGTCAGGACCACTGGTGGTGGTGTGGGATGAGCAAAAAGCAGAGAATCCAATCCAGAACACCCTACAGTCCTGGCCCAGCATCTCTGCATCCAATGTTTTTAAGCCTCGTGTTTTGCTTTGGAAGCCCTGTCCTTGCTGAGGTCCTCACCAGAGCTGCAAGAGCAACGCTCACCCCAAATCCTGCCCCAGCTCCACCACCCAAAGGGTTAAAAATGTCCCTTCTCCCATTCCCGGCCTGACAAGCTGGTCTGGGAGCTCTTTCCTTGTGGTTTCCGTTGCCATGGCCCGGCTGTTTTCCTCTGCTGGAGCCACCATTCATTTCCTGGGTGCCATTGTGAGGTTAAACATCAACCCCCGGGGCGGGAATGCCACCCCGGATCCTTTGTTTGAGCCCGCCCTGCCGTGCTGTCCCGGGAGAGGCAGCCAGCTCCCGGGACAATGGGGAACCTTGGGATTCTGTCCTGGACATCCACCTGGCATTGTTTGAAAGCAAAGGGCTTGACCCAGCCAGGTGACCTGCAGGGGACAAGGACTGGGCTGCAAGGGACAAATCCTGCCTTGGGGCAAATCCTTCTTTTGGGAAAATCCTGCCATTTTGGGGCAAATCCTGCTTTTGGGAAAATCCAGCTTTTGGAAGAATCCTGCCTTTGGGAAAATCCTGCTTTTGGGAAAATCCTACTTTGGGGCAAATCCTGCTTTTGGGAAAATTCTACCTCGGGGAAAATCCTGCTTTTGGGAAAATCCTACCTTGGGGCAAATCCTGCCTTCAGGATAACCCTGCCTTTGGGAAAATTCTGCTATTTTGGGGCAAATCCTGCCTTTGGGAAAATCCAGCTTTTGGGAAAAATCCTGCCTTTGGGAAAATCCTGCTTTTGGGAAAATCCTACTTTGGGGCAAATCCTGCTTTTGGGAAAATCCAGCTTTTGGGAAAAATTCTGCCTTTGGGATAATCCTGCTTTTGGGAAAATCCTACTTTGGGGCAAATCCTGCTTTTGGGAAAATTCTACCTTGGGGAAAATCCTGCTTTTGGGAAAATTCTACTTTGGGGCAAATCCTGCCTTCAGGATAACCCTGCCTTTGGGAAAATTCTGCTATTTTGGGGCCTTTGGGAAAATCGTACCTTTGTCTTGGCATGTCCCAAGTCCCATAAAACCCCCACCAACTCCTTGTAAATCCTCTGCAAGTGCTGTTTTTACCTGAGCCATAAAAATCCCTCTCCCTTTCCCATGGAGCAGCATCCAGAGGTTTTTGGAGGAGCAGGATGTGCTTGTGCTGCTCTGCCTCCTCTAGGCCCATGTATCCATGGTTTTGTGTTTTATCCACTGCGGGCAGGGCACTGGAGACCTTGCTGTGGCTGATTTCCCTTCCCTGGCCAAACGTGGCATTCCCATCCCTGTAATTGCTCAAGGCCAGGTTGGATAGGGCTTGGATCTAGTGGAAGGTGGAATGTGGTCTAGTAGAACCTGGTCTGGGGAAGATGGGCTTTCAGGTTCCTTCCAAAACAAAGCAATCCAGGATTCCCTGGAGCAGCCTGTGGGAGGAAGAGCTCCCTGGGAGCATGGAGAGGAAGGAATCCCTAGAAGTCACTGTAGGAATCCCTGGAAGTTGGCGGAACCTGGTCTGGGCAGGGTGGAACACGAAGGCCTTTATGATCCTTCCCAAGCTGAGCTGTTCCAGGATTCCCTGGTTCCATGCAGCAGCCTGTGGGAGGAAGGGCTCCCTGGAAGCACGGGAAGGTCTCCCTGGAAGGCTGGGGAGGCAGGAATCCCTGGAAGCACGGCAGGGCAGGGCACACATGCCNCCCCCGCCGTTATCAGGAGTTTACCAGCCCCAGATTCCCGGGAGCTGTCCCGGTTTCCCGCAGTTCCGCACATCCCGGGATTGCCGTGCCAGGGCCGCGTGTGGCCGCTGTGGCTCTGCTGGCGCTCGCGGCTCGGGGATTTTGGGACAAGCAGGATTTGTGTGCTCGCTCAGCGCTGGGAGGAGCCTGCCCGGGGCTGGCCCTGCTGTGACTGCCCCGATCCGTGCGGAGCAGGGACAGGATCCCTCGGGCTGTCCCCGCTGAAAGCAGCGCCGCATTCACCGGGATAATCCATAATCCGAGCTGGGGCAGCTCTCAGACCTTTCAGGGCAATGGATCCCGATTTTCCTTGGAGAAGAGTTCCAGGGTTGGGAGGGAGGGTTTGTCACCCCCCTGTGCCAGCTCCACCATCCCACAATCCCAAATTCACAGCAGGAATGTGGAATGGGATGATCCTTCATCCCTCCCATCCCAAGCCAATCTCTGACCGTCCCAGTTTTTAAGGAAGGAGGAAATTTTGGAGACAGGTTCACAGGTGCCCCTCGTCCTTCCCACCCCAGGGACACAAACTCTGCTCCCACCAAGCCATTGTTTTATCCTTGGATGGATCATAAAAAACCCCAATCCCTGGAGTGCAGGGGATGAGCTCCAACAAATTCCCAGTGGCAGGAACTCTCCCCTGCTGGTTTCCACTAACACTGAAATATTAAAGCAATCTGGTTTTTATTTGGGAATTTTTATTGGATTTGTCAGGCTCGGGAAGCCCCAGCGACAAACAAACCTGACAGAATCCTATTAGCCCCATTAATCACCATTAAGTGCTAATATCTGTGTTCTCCCTCCTTGCTGCTATTAATTAGCACAACCAGAGAGGGGCAGAGCTCCAGCCCCGGCCCTGGAGGAGCTCTCAGCATTCCTGGGAAGGGGCTGGGACTGCTCCAAGCTCTACCTGAGTGCCAGAAAATCTCCCACCAGCACCAACCTAAAACATTCTCCGCTCTGGAAATCCATCCCCAGATTCCAGAGGCAGCAGCCCCTGGTTCCTCTCCTTTCCTGCCTCCAGGGGCAGCTCCAGCAGCAGGAACAGAGGAACAGAGGCTGCCTGCTCCCTGGATTTGCTCTGCTGCCTGCAGACCCCTGAGGTGTTTTGGGGTTGGTTTTTTTTGGGGTGTAGGGCTGAAATTCCCAGGAAGTTTTTCTCTCAGCGCAGGGACAGAGCTGTCCTGTTCCCACAATTGGCAGGATCCTGGGAACTTAATCAGCATGGATGGGGACATGGTGGCCTTGGCAGAGCTGGAGGAGAGGCTGGAACTGATGATCCCAGAGGCCTTTTCCAGCCTCAATGATGCCATGGATTTATGAGGTCCCTTGGAAGCTCTGAGCAGCTCCAGCTTCTCCCTGGAGAGGTTGGCAGAGGGGAGAGGAGGCCCTGGAGGCTGCAGGGTGAGACATCAAAGCCTTCCCAACCCTTCATCCCGGCAGGAGGGGGAGCAGGGCGGGCACAGGGAGCAGCAGCAGCAGCTGGGCTGACCTTTGCATCCCGGGCAGGGAAATGCCAGCCCCAACAGGAGGGATGGCATCCCAGCCTTCCCTGTCCCTACCCCACAGGAGGGATGGCATCCCAACCTTCCCAGTGCCAGCCCCACAGGAGGGGTTCCATCCCAATTTTCCCAGTGCCAGCCCCACAGCAGGGTTCCCATCCCAACCTTCCCTGGCTCCTGCTGCTCCCCCAGCCTTGACCTGATCCCACTCTTGCCACGGTTTTGATTTATTTTTGCATTTGTGCAGAGGCAGGAGCAATAAATAAATAAATAAATAAATAAATAAGGACATCAGTCAATCAATAAATCACCTCCCACCCCCAGCTCCTGCCAGCTCCACAGGGGGGTGGAAATCAGCTCCATCCTTCCTGCTCCTCCCTCTCCAGCCCATCCATCACTCCCTGCCTAGCCCAGGAACAGGAGCTGTGGGGGCAGAGCCAGCCCCTCCTTCCTCCTGTCCTGCTGATCCCAGACACCCCTGGGCTGGCTGGGTGGGAGCTCTGGACATGGAGAGGGATCCACACCCCTGGCAGTGCCCAAGGCCGGCTTGGATGGGGCTTGGAGCAGCCTGGGGCAGTGGGAGGTGTCCCTGCCCATGGCAGGGGGTGGGACTGGATCAGCTTTAAGGTCCCTTCNTGACACTGGTGCCATGGTGTGACCATGGATGTGACACTGTCCCCCATGGTGTGACCATGGATGTGGCACTGATTCTGGGGTGTGACCATGGATGTGACACTGGTGCCATGGTGTGACCATGGATGTGACACTGTCCCCATGGTGTGACCATGGATGTGACCCTGTCCCCCATGGTGTGACCATGGATGTGACACCAGAGCAGGAGCCGTGCCCAGGACTGTTGGCAGTGACAATCCCAGTCTCTGTGGGGGCACAGAAGAACAGACCTGTGACAAACTCACCCTTCAAACAAGGGGCAGCACAAAAGCAGGTGACAGAAGTGTCACCCGTGTCCCACTGAGCCATTCCTGGCAGCCAGCTTGGGACTGTGAGCACCTGCCCTGCCTGGCCAGGTTTTTGTGGTTGTGTCCTTAGCATTTCTGCTTCCAAGAGGAATTTAAACTTCGGGTGTCTCTGGGAGGACCAGCGTGGGACAGCAGAAGAG